TTTGTGAAAACAATAATTCAATTATATTCCTGTCAACAATGGATAAAAGGTTCAAAAGTAATTGTTGAAATTATGATATGGGAATACATATTGAGTATATGAGTACTGTGTGTTTAGCATTTAGTCTAGGGTGATTAAGTGGCTTTTGAGAAGAGTCTTAAATTGATTTTCAGACCGGGTTACTTTAGCATCTTCTGGTAATGAATTCCATATTTTGGGGCCCTTTATGTGCATAGAGTTTTTACACAGTGTGATATGGACACGAGGTACATCAAAAAGAGATCTGTGTCTTGTGTTATGGCAGCCAGATTTTTTGGTGTTGTTGAAGATAGTTTTGGCATGGTTTGTAGTCTTGGTTTGCAGTGACCTGGTATACAAGTGAAAGTTGGAGTATAATACTTGGATTCAAACTGGAGAAATTTAGGTTTAGAAGGACATTGGGAAGTACATACTGGTTTTGCAGTAGAGTTGTAGATGAATGAAGCAAATTTCCAAGTAATGTTATTGAGGCAAGAACTTTAGGTTGTTTTAAATATAGTTTGGATGGGTACGTGAGTGGGTGTGGGTGGACGTGAATTGGTCTTGCCTACCATGGACCAGTAGGCCTACTGCAAAGTTCCTTCATTCTTGTGTGATTTATTGATGCTGGTGAGGGGCTCTTGATCCAAGAACCCTTCAAAGGAGGTACCTTGATACTGGTGAGGGACTCTTGATTCAAGGGCCCCTCAAGGGAGGTTCCTTGATATTGGTGAGGTGCTCTTGATTCAATGACCCTTCTGGGGAAGTTCCTCGATACTGGTGAGGGGCTCTTAATTCAAAAGCCACTCACAGTAGGTCCCTAGATGGTAGCCCTGGAGAAGTGTCCCATAGCACAATCCCTAGCGCACTCAGCTCACACATTGAGGTCTGGGAGATCAATCTCCTGGTCTGAGTGGAAACACTAGAACATGTTTTCATAAGGCACCTGCTGTCCCTGTTCACCTATCAGTAAAATGGGTATGTGGGTGTTAGTCGATTGGTGTGAGTTGCATCCTGGGACAAAATTGACCTAATTTGCCAAAAATGCTCTGCATAACAAGGGTCTTTCTATATACTACATAGTAGTACAGTGGACCCCCGGTTAATGATATTTTTTCACTCCAGAAGTATGTTCAGGTGCCAGTACTGACCGAATTTGTTCCCATAAGAAATATTGTGAAGTAGATTAGTCCATTTCAGACCCCCAAACATACACGTACAAACGCACTTACATAAATACACTTACATAATTGGTCACATTCGGAGGTAATCGTTATGCGGGGGTCCACTGTACGTCAGTGATATCATCTAGGCCTGTATACCTGTACATGTACTTGTAGAGATAAAGATTTTTTGTTATTATTATTACAGTTTAATTCATTCTGTGACAGAGCTCATAACTCAATTTGCTCATATATCAAATCAATTTTCCTCATTGAAATTAATTGAAATGTCATTAATCCGTTACAGCCCCCAAAAAAACACTCCAGTTTTTTTGTTATGCATTTTTAAATAAAAAAATGTATTTATAAATAAAAATATTGTATAAAAACATAATAAAACAGAATGTAAAGAAATAAACTGGTTTTATAGAGTGTATTTACCTTGAAATTCAGACAACTTGGAATGACAGAAGATGCTGGCAGAGGTGGAGGCTGGAAAACAACTTACTTGCTACACTCTTCACTACTCTACCCTCCACCTTCACTTGCTACACTCTTCACTACTCTACCCTCCACCTTCACTTGCTACACTCTTCACTACTCTACCTCCACCTTCACTTGCTACACTCTCACTACTATACCCTCCACCTTCACTTGCTACACTCTTCACTACTCTACCTCCACCTTCACTTGCTACACTCTTCACTACTCTACCTCCACCTTCACTTGCTACACTCTTCACTACTCTACCCTCCACCTTCACTTGCTACACTCTTCACTACTCTACCCTCCACCTTCACTTGCTACACTCTTCACTACTCTACCCTCCACCTTCACTTGCTACACTCTTCACTACTCTACCCTCCACCTTCACTTGCTACACTCTTCACTACTCTACCCTCCACCTTCACTACTCTACCCACCACCTTCACTGCTCCACCACCACCTTCACTACTCCACCCACCACCTTCACTACTCTACCCACCACCTTCACTACTCTACCCACCACCTTCACTACTGTCACTATTCCACTCACCATCATCATTACTCCACCCACCACCTTCACTACTCCACCCACCACATTCACTACTCCACCACCATTTTCACTACTCTACCCACCACTATCACTACACCCACTACAGTCACTACTCCACCCACCACCATCATTACTCCACCCACCACCTTCACTACTACACCTGCCACCACTACTCTACCCACCACTATCACTACTCCACCCACCACATTCACTACTCCACCCACCATTATCACTACATCACCCACCACCTTCACTACTTACCCACCACCTTCACTACTTCACCCACCACCTTCACTACTCTAACCACATCTATCACTACTCCACCCACCACCATCACTTCTCCACCCACCACCCTCACTACTCCACCCACCATTATCACTACTTCACCCACCACCTTCACTACTTACCACCACCTTCACTGCTTCACCCACCACCTTCACTACTCTAACCACACATTATCACTACTCCACCCACCACCATCACTTCTCCACCCACCCACCCTCTCACTACTCCACCCACCCACTATCACTACTCCACTCACTACTGTCACAACTCCATCCCCACCACCCCCATCACTGCTCCACCCACCATCACCTCAACTACCTCCAACCACACACACATCACTACTACACTACACTACTTGTCACAACTCCATCCACCACCATCACTGCTCCACCCACCACCCTCACTACTCCACCCACCACTATCACTACACTCACCACTGTCACAACTCCACCCACCACCATCACTACTCCACCCACTGAAGGAACCTCGGTGAGGCAGGTAAGTATCACGGAGGTCTCCCTTAATGTTTCTGGAAAAACTCTGAGTGTTGAAATGGAGGTTACCTCTTCCCTGGATTTTTACACAAACCAACAAGGGACGAGGTGCCTCACTACAATCTGGGATTAGTGTGGGAGTATTATCCTTCCAGTTATGTCTTGGAAGAGCATGTGGGATGGGACGAAGTACCTGACATTCCTCTGGGTACAGAATTTGATTTGACTCACTCATAACCTGGATATTGGCTCGCAACTCAAAGCAAAAAATCGACCAAGCGACGGCTCGTAACTTGGAAAACTTGTAAGTTGGGGCACTCGTAAGTCAAGGTACCACTGTGTGTATTTGGATTTCTCTCTGAAGACTTTTGAATATTCCAGTTCTCCTTCCACACAACATCTTTTGTAATTGCATAAATAAGTACAATGGACCCCCGGTTTACAATCAGCTCCCAATGCAACCAATTATGTAAGTGTATTTATGTAAGTGCATTTGTATGTGTATGTTTGGGGGTCTGAAATGGACTAATCTAATTCACAATATTCCTTATGGGAACAAATTCGGTCAGTACTGGCACCTGAACATACTTCTGGAATGAAATAATATCGTAAACCGGGGCTCCACTGTATATAGAAAAGACTATGATTACTTAACCTAGGTTATTCCTACAGTTCCTCTGGAGTATTTAATTTCATTGGTGTCCATGTGTAGTACTTTTCATTTAGATGTTCATGTGTGTATACCACTATACAACTGTATATGGCAATACAGGCATACATTGCTTTAAGGTGCTTCACTTTAGAGCACTTCACCAATGCACCACTTTTCAATTTTATTTCTGTTTATTATTTTTGGCACTTGCCTTACTCTTAAGATGGTTTTCATTATTTTTTATATTTTTGCTGTTGCATCTTTCTTTTTTTAAGCCTATCATTTTGTGCATTTAATAAATGATTGTGTAAACATGTTTTTAGGCTTTCATATGCATTGGCAAGTGAAAAAAAAAAGTTGTGATTTTCTTTAAGGCAATATTCACTTTACAGCAGCGGTCTGGAACCTAACCTGCCATATTAGCGAGTTATGTCTGTACTGTATGTCACTGTTTAGTGATGCAAGATAATCTAACAGCCTAACTAATGATGGCATCTGCACATAGACTAGTCTACAGTATTTTTGTGTGCAACAGGTCTGCCAGAGACTCCAATGAATGATGACTCTGCTTGTACAAGTACTATATAGTACTTCTTTCTAAGACCAAGGTTTTTTCTTTGGCAGCCAGTTACCCAAACAAACAAATATGTGTATACATATTGAACCACATTACCAGACATGTCACTCTTTTTAATTTCAGTTTGCTTATTTGCGGTTAAATGAATTTTTGTATAAATTTGAGCAACCTAATTTATAAACTGATTGTTACCCCACTGTTGTGTCAGTAGAATTTAATACTGTCCACTACATGGCTGCTGCCTTGATAGACACTCTTTCTCTTAATTGATGCAACTTGTAGGTTATTTCCACGATTGTGAAGAAGTAACACTGCCTATTAAAGAAACAGACTTAACCTAATACAGTGGACCCCCGCTTAACGATCACCTCCAAATGCGACCAATTATGTAAGTGTATTTATGTAAGTGCGTTTGTACGTGTATGTTTGGGGGTCTGAAATGGACTAATCTACTTCACAATATTCCTTATGGGAAAAAATTCGGTCAGTACTGGCACCTGAAGATACTACTGGAATGAAAAAAGTTCGTTAACCGGGGGTCCACTGTACAACCTATTTATATGCATCCCAGTAGCTCAGTGGTGAGTGTTCCCCTCATAAATGACAGCGCTCAGATTCAGGGAGCAGTTTTGCACCTGTTGTATCTTTTTACTTAGAAGCAAATAGACACTGGCTTGTTGCCTTCCTGTTGCATTGCATCCTTGGAATGGTAAATATGACAAAATTCAATGTTTATGTATTTCTGTGCTTCTCTAACTATAGATTTACACAACAGGTACATGATTGGTTTACTACAAATTGACATAAAGGTCTGATGTCACAGAATTTGTGAAGAGCAACTTCCTAGATGATAAGTTCAGAGTGGCGGCACCCGAGCACCTCGGAGGTGTGTTTATGTAGTCATGTTTCCTTTAATTAATGATGTCTTAGCACATGTTGATGGGCAGGTTTAAAATCTGGTGTTGTAGTAGACAGTATCCATCCAAGGAGATAGAACCCATCTGTCATATAAGCAGGAAATACGTTGAACTGTAGGGCTGTTCCAAAGTATCAGTTAATTGTGAAGGTATTGGCTAATTTTGATGGTATCGTTATCAACCTAAACTTGAGTACGTATTGGTTAATTTTGATAGTAGTGGTATCCGGATAAAATTGAATGTCGGTATTGGCATAAAATTGAGTATCGGTATTGGTGTTGGCAAAGCACTGGTATTGTCTCATCCCTAAGTAGTAGCCTTTTAAAAATTGCTTGCACTGGTGGAATTGCTGGTCTTTTCTTTCTTTGTAATGAACAAGTAATATGGCAACTAAACCTTACAGACTTCAGCTTACATTCAGCATTTACTTTGTTTATTTTCTTGTGTGGTTTATAATAGTTATTATTCCTGTAATATTGCCTTGTTTAATTTAGGAGGTGTGGTCTGAGACTGATTGAGGGGGAGTAATGATCTTGAACTTATCAACCCTGTGAAGGTCTGTCCTGTAGTTCTTGGGCTTATCCACAGGGTCCAGGAATTTTCAAAAGATAACAAAAAAATATTTTTTGTTATCTTTTCTTATGAAGTGATAGAGAATATTTTTCTTAAGGTAATAAAACAAAAAGTACGAAATTTGATGGAAAATTAAATTAATAAAATTATGTTATTGCAAATTTTGCTGTGTCAGCGATATTTATGCATTGGCAATTTTGCCCACTTTGACTCCTATTTTAGGCCAATTACATTATTCCAGTGCATAGCATCACTTCTAATTAATTGAATGAGCACGAAACTACCCAATAAATTTTTTCAATTACCCAATAAAGTGATCAGAAATTGGTAATTTGTCCAATTTCACACAAAGTTCAAAATATTCCAATTTCAAAATAGGGTCCAGAATAAACAATGCAGGCATTCCTGGCACTAAAATAACATTACCTCTGTTTATTAGTTACGTTTCCAGGTTTTACAGATGAAATCCATTTTGATTTTTCACAAAATTTTTATTCACACCAGAAAATAGAAGATTTACTGTTATGCAGTATTGTAATAATTATATAAATAATATCAGAGCATTTGTGAATGTACATTAAACCCACCAGTTGGCGTGTACTGGATGTACTGTGTACTGTTTACTCTAAAACATTGGCAAAAATCTACCATTTCTGCTGCTTTGAGCTGAATTTCAAGCTATTTTCAGTATCAAAACCAGGCAAAATCATCTCTATTTTTGTAATATATTTTCCATTCTGTCAAATGAGATCAAGAAACCACAAATGCAACCATAAAAACCATACGAAAATACACCACAAAGTCGCTGTACTAATCCAAAAACACGGTCACAGTTTTTTTTTTTTTTTTTTTCTCATTATGCACTGAGTGCTGCAGGATTTGTTTTATATGGTGCACACTTACCACATAGATACATTCTCTCATATCTAGGCCCAAATTTACTGCTCACAGCTTATCTGAGTGAGCTGAGCTCATGACGTAGTACTACAGCTGGGACCTTGTCTTCAAAGCCGTAGAACTATGGGGCGGACCCTCAAAGGGTTAATAAACTATGTTATCAAAATACAACTTGTAAACATTTGTTATATCCTCAGTGTACTGTATCTTGAAGAAAATTTGGTTGATGGATGCCTGTTTAGCTAAACTTGACTTCATTAACCATATAAACTTCATTTTTTAGTAAAGAATTAACAGGTGCAGAATTCGTATCATTACAGGCAGGCCCTGCTTTGCAGTGCTTTGCTTTACAGTGCTTCACTAATGCAGTGGTTTTCACTTATACCCATTCTTCATTTATTCAGATTTCCTACAATTAATGTATTTACCATTCACTAAATACATATGATAGTGTAAAACATGTTGTCAGGATTATATATGCATTTGAGAGTGAAAAATAGGCTTTTTCACTTTGCAGCAATTTTTGTTTTACAGCAGTAGCCCAGAACCTAATCTGCTGTAGAAGCGGTGCCCTCCTCTACTTGATTCTCGCAAGTGAGAATGCAAGAAGTATGTACTAGTGCACTCCTTAAATCACAGCTAATGTCTTCTAAGGAAGGTACCTTGATGTTGGCAAAGGGCTTATGATCCAAGGAATTGGAAGTATCATCCCTTTCCTTGGATCAGGCACTGGGGAATGTGAGGAAAATGATAATATTTATAATCTTAGGGAACATTTCAGTTTTCCCTTTGTGCTTCAGTTTCCCTGTTATTATCACCCATTTTTGTGTCATTGAGTACTATTCCAAGTAACTTTGTGTGTATTCCTTTAACTCTTCCAGTGCCTCGCCAAAAAAAAAAAAAAAATAATGCTCAGTCCACCAAGGCACTGTCCTGGCATTGCTTCTGTTTCTCATCCTCATAGCAGGCATAGATAAAGACACTCGTGACAGTTTTGTATCATCATTGCAGATGACACTAAAATAAGCAAGAAAGTCACAATGGTAGAAGACATTGAAAAATTACAGGAGGATAAAAGAAGTGTTTTCCAGTAGGTAGTGGAAAACAACATGACATTCAATGGTGATAAAGATAAAGATACAGATAAATGTTGATTTCTTTGTAAAGGTTACATTGTGTAATTACAATTTTGGTTTGCTAAGTACAAAGAAAACCACTATCATGCCAGGGCATTTCGGGCAGATTAATCGTAGTACATAGTAACTACTTAAAACTAGACATGATAATAGTGCTTAATTAACTTTATTACAATCTTGATAAGTTCCAACTGCTTAGGTATGGAAAGAACGAAGAACTCAAAAGGAACACTGTAATAAAAACCCAAGAGGATCATCAAATAGAACGAAAAGAACACGTGAAAGACTGGGGAATAACTATGTCAGCTGATCTTTCTTGCAAAGAACATAATAAGACAAAGGTCATGACAGCCAGGAGAATGACGGAGTGGGTATTGAGAACCTTCAAAACAAGAAATAGTACCAATGGTGTCACTTTTCAAATTGTTAGTGCTCCTTCATTTGGAATATTGCTTATTGTTTATGACCCCTTCAAGGCAGGAGAAATATCAGAGCTTGAAGAAATATGGAGATTGTTTATGGCTCACATAGAGCCAGTAAAGCATTTAAATTACTGGGAATGTCTCAGAGTCTTGAATATGTACTCACTGGAGTGGAGGAGAGAGAGTTACATGATAATATACATACCTGGAAGGTACTCGAGGGCCTGGTCCTAAATATGCACACTGCCATAACAACATACAGTGGAACCTCAAATTTCAAACTTAATGTGTTCCAGGAGCTAGTTCTAAATTCGAAAAGTTTGAAAAGCAAAGCAATATTTCCCATAAGAAATAATGGAAATACAATTAATCCGTTCCAGAAACCCAAAAATATTCACACAAAAAAAATACATTTTATAGAGATTAATTATAGTTTTACATACAACAAATATAGTGTACAATTATGTATTAATAAATATAAATAAACATATAAAATAATATTTTTATTTACCTTTATTGAAGATTGGTGATGGCATCTGGAAGATAGGGAGGAGGAGAGAGGGAGTTGGGGTTTGTGTTTGGAAGGGGAATCCCCCTCCATAAGGACTTTAGGTATCAAAGCCCTCTCTGGAGTTATTTCCCTTCTCTGCCTTTAATGCCACTAGGACCAGCTTGAGAGTCACTGGACCCTTGTCTCACAAAATAACTGTCCACAGTCCTCTGTTTCTGGCACCTCTTTAAGATTTCCCTAAAATGGGACATGGTTCTTTCACTGAACTTGTTGCAGAGATGGCTTGTTTCAGCTAGCTCAGGGTGGTACTTCTCCACAAACATTTGGACATCATTCCACTTGGCGCAGATCTCCTTAATCTTTGAATCGGCATGCAACTTCCTTGCCTTTTCACAAAATAATCGTCTCTGAAACACTCACCTGCCATCTCTCTATCCTTGATCCACACCAGCAACAACTTCTCAACCTGATCGATTGTCTGTGGTCTTTTTTTTGGTTAGCATATTAACACCTTTTGCAACATCAGCTTCCTTGATTTGTTCTTTCTTTGCCAGGATAGAAGCGATGGTCGACTTTTTTTCCCATACATCCTGGCAAGCTCAAAAAGTTTCACACCACTCTCATACTTCTGTATTATTTCCTTCTTCACATCTATGGTGTTTCTCACTTTCTTTACCACAGGGGTACCACTAGCAAGTTTCTTTGGGCCCATGGTAGCTTATTTCACAGTCCCACAAGCACTAAACACAATGAATTAATCATAAAATGTTTGAATGAGACTGCAGGTTATTGTTCACTTAAGCATCAACAAAACCAGACTGGCTCACGGCGCCTGCGCATGGACGCAGACAGAGCGGGCTGGCAGACAGGGCCAGTACCCAGCGGTTTGAAAAAAGGTGAGTCCGATAATGGGGACAAAGTTGTTTCGAAAAAAGCAGTTGATTTTTGAAGAGTTTGATAAGCAATACAGTGGACCCCCGCTTAACGATCACCTCCCAATGCGACCAATTATGTAAGTGTATTTATGTAAGTGCGTTTGTACATGTATGTTTGGGGGTCTGAAATGGACTAATCTACTTCACAATATTCCTTATGGGACCAAATTCGGTCAGTACTGGCACCTGAACATACTTCTGGAATGAAAAAATATCGTTAACTGGGATCCACTGTACATTCAAAATTTGAGGTTCCACTGTACTGAAGTGAAAGAAATGGGAGGAAGTGCAGAAAAAACCCAGTGAAATAAAGTGGTGCAGTGGGTACAATAGGGAAACACTGTATCAACATTCGTGGCCCTAAGTTATTCATCATCTTACCAGAAGATATCAGAAACACTGCTGGAACAAGTGCAGAAGTCTTCAAGAGAAAACTGAACAAGTATCTTTAGCAAGTGCCAGATCAACCAGGCTGTGATGGATATGTGGGGCAGCAGGCCTCCACTAGCAGCAGCCTGATTGACCAGGCTAGCACCAAATGAGTCAGGCTTCTGGAATAGAAAAACTCTCGAAGGTATGGTCACATACTGACTTTGGGTGTATGTCCAGCTCCCTCTTGAAGACAGCCAGGGGGTCTATTAGTAATCCTTCTTATGTGTGCTGGGAGGCAGTTGAACAGTTTGGCCCCTTCTCCCTAACAGTTATTGTATTTTTTCTTAGCATACTCATGGCGCCCCTGCTTTTCATTGGGGGGATGTTGCACCGCCTGTCGACTTTGACACAGTTCTTGATGCTAGTCGAGGAGGTTTCCTTGCTGGATCAGGAACTTGCATCTTGGAAGCAGTGTCTGGCAAAGAGGTCAGCTTTCTCCTCATTGCTAGTAGATGGTCCTATCCTGCTGATATAGAGGTGCAGGCACTGTACTTCCCATCTCCAGGGCTCAAGTCCGGCCTGCCGGTTTCCCTGAATCCCTTCATAAATGTTACTTTGCTCACACTCCAACAGCACGTCAAGTATTAAAAACCATTTGTCTCCATTCACTCCTATCAAACATGCTCACGCATGCCCGCTGGAAGTCCAAGCCCCTCGCACACAAAACCTCCTTTACCCCCTCCCTCCAACCTTTCCTAGGCCGACCCCTACCCCGCCTTCCTTCCACTACAGACTGATACACTCTTGAAGTCATTCTGTTTCGCTCCATTCTCTCTACATGTCCGAACCACCGCAACAACCCTTCCTCAGCCCTCTGGACAACAGTTTTGGTAATCCCGCACCTCCTCCTAACTTCCAAACTACGAATTCTCTGCATTATATTCACACCACACATTGCCCTCAGACATGACATCTCCACTGCCTCCAACCTTCTCCTCGCTGCAACATTCATCATCCATGCTTCATACCCATATAAGAGCGTTGGTAAAACTATACTCTCATACATTCCCCTCTTTGCCTCCAAGGACAAAGTTCTTTGTCTCCACAGACTCCTAAGTGCACCAATCACCATTTACCCCTCAGCAATTCTATGATTCACCTCATCATTCATAGACCCATCCGCTGACACGTCCACTCCCAAATATCTGAATACATTCACCTCCTCCATACTCTCTCCCTCCAGTCTGATATCCAATCTTTCATCACCTAATCTTTTTGTTATCCTCATAACCTTACTCTTTCCTGTATTCACTTTTAATTTTCTTCTTTTACATTATTATTTTTTATTATCACACTGGCCGATTCCCACCAAGGCAGGGTGGCCCGAAAAAGAAAAACTTTCACCATCATTCACTCCATCACTGTCTTGCCAGAAGGGTGCTTTACACTACAGTTTTTAAACTGCAACATCAACACCCTTCCTTCAGAGTGCAGGCACTGTACTTCCCATCTCCAGGACTCAAGTCCGGCCTGCCGGTTTCCCTGAACCCCTTCATAAATGTTACTTTGCTCACACTCCAACAGCACGCCAAGTATTAAAAACCATTCGTCTCCATTCACTCCTATCAAACACGCTCACACACGCCTGCTGGAAGTCCAAGCCCCTCGCACACAAAACCTCCTTTACCCCCTCCCTCCAACCTTTCCTAGGCCGACCCCTACCCCGCCTTCCTTCCACTACAGACTGATACACTCTTGAAGTCATTCTGTTTCGCTCCATTCTCTCTACATGTCTGAACCACCTCAACAACCCTTCCTCAGCCCTCTGGACAACAGTTTTGGTAATCTCGCACCTCCTCCTAACTTCCAAACTACGAATTCTCTGCATTATATTCACACCACACATTGCCCTCAGACGTGACATCTCCACTGCCTCTAACCTTCTCCTCGCTGCAACATTCATCATCCATGCTTCACACCCATATAAGAGTGTTGGTAAAACTATACTCTCATACATTCCCCTCTTTGCCTCCAAAGACAAAGTTCTTTGTCTCCACAGACTCCTAAGTGCACCACTCACCCTTTTCCCCTCATCAATTCTATGATTCACCTCATCCTTCATAGACCCATCCGCTGACACGTCCACTCCCAAATATCTGAATACATTCACCTCCTCCATACTCTCTCCCTCCAATCTGATATCCAATCTTTCATCATCTAATCTTTTTGTTATCCTCATAACCTTACTCTTTCCTGTATTCACTTTTAATTTTCTTCTTTTGCACACCCTACCAAATTCATCCACCAATCTCTGCAACTTCTCTTCAGAATCTCCCAAGAGCACAGTGTCATCAGCAAAGAGCACCTGTGACAACTCCCACTTTGTGTGATTCTTTATCTTTTAACTCCATGCCTCTTGTCAAGACCCTCGCATTTACTTCTCTTACAACCCCATCTATAAATATATTAAACAACCACGGTGACATCACACATCCTTGTCTAAGGCCTACTTTTACTGGGAAATAATTTCCCTCTTTCTTATGTACTCTAACTTGAGTCTCACTATCCTCGTAAAAACTCTTCACTGCTTTCAGTAACCTACCTCCTACACCATACACCTGCAACATCTGCCACATTGCCCCCCTATCCACCCTGTCATACACCTTTTCCAAATCCATAAATGCCACAAAGACCTCTTTAGCCTTATCTAAATACTGTTCACTTATATGTTTCACTGTAAACACCTGGTCCACACACCCCCTACCTTTCCTAAAGCCTCCTTGTTCATCTGCTATCCTATTCTCCGTCTTACTTTTAATTCTCTCAATAATAACTCTACCATACACTTTACCAGGTATACTCAACAGACTTATCCCCCTATAATTTTTGCACTCTTTTGTCCCCTTTGCCTTTATACAAAGGAACTATGCATGCTCTCTGCCAGTCCCTAGGTACCTTACCCTCTTCCATACATTTATTAAATAATTGCACCAACCACTCCAAAACTATATCCCCACCTGCTTTTAACATTTCTATCTTTTTATCCCATCAATCCCGGCTGCCTTACCCCCTTTCATTTTACCTACTGCCTCACGAACTTCCCCCCACACTCACAACTGACTCTTCCTCACTCCTACAAGATGTTATTCCTCCTTGCCCTATACACGAAATCACAGCTTCCCTATCTTCATCAACATTTAACAATTCCTCAAAATATTCCCTCCATCTTCCCAATACCTCTAACTCTCCATTTAATAACTCTCCTCTCCTATTTTTAACTGACAAATCCATTTGTTCTCTAGGCTTCCTTAACTTGTTAATCTCACTCCAAAACTTTTTCTTATTTTCAACAAAATTTGTTGATAACATCTCACCCACTCTCTCATTTGCTCTCTTTTTACATTGCTTCACCACTCTCTTAACCTCTCTCTTTTTCTCCATATACTCTTCCCTCCTTTCATCACTTCTACTTTGTAAAAACTTCTCATATGCTAACTTTTTCTCCCTTACTACTCTCTTTACATCATCATTCCACCAATCGCTCCTCTTCCTCTATACGTGGTTGGAAGCCCAGCCTGCTGTCTGAGATCTTGACTGCCTGAAGATACATCTCTAACTGCAGGGTAGGGTACACTCTGACCTAACCAAGGGTTTGAAATACCTTGACATAGCAAGTTTTTGAAAGTCCATGGCATCATGGCTAGTGTATTTGAAATATGCTGACAGCAGTAGGGCCCTACTTTACAGCACTTCACTTTACTTTGTTAATACTGACATCTCATTTTCTGACCAAAAATTCTTTTATACAGCTCCCTGATTTGCCATTACATTGTCCGTGCACCACTCTGTTTGTTTGCATCCTCCATGAGCTCTGTCTTTTGATTATGTATGGAAATTTTCCAGAATTTCAAGTGTTTTAAAGATACGTATATTGTATATACAGGTACCATCCGACTTACGGCTAAGCTTGGTTCCAACCAACCTGTCGTAAGTCATAATGTACCTAAATCGAACCTTAGAAAATTGCCGATAGGGATAGTAGTAGTAGTTATACCTGTGAAGATTTAGACATGTGCAACATTTGGGTATCTTTATTGTAGATGTTTTGCCATCCAGTGGCTTTATCAATACAGATTCTAGGACATAATTTGAAAACAGTAGAATTATATTCAAAAGTTGAGGTAATCAGTCCCTCAGCCTTGGAGTTGGTGTGAAGAGCACCGTAGTTGTGTAGCTCTTGGAGCACAGGCAGGGAGGCTGGTGCTTATATACTAATCGTCAGGTGGAAAGGGACGGGTAGCAGACAAGGGCATAGTCACTGGTAGGCGGGATTCCCCAGTGGAAGTAGGTCATACCCAAAGGGATGGGTAAGTTTTAGAAGTAGTTGTAGTAGCTGCTACAACTACTTCTACAACTTAGTGGAGGGGTATCTGAAATGTAGTATCGGCTTGCCTTTTGCAAGACATTGATGGACCGAGTGATGGTGAAAGTGTTTCTTCTTTTTCAGGGTTACCTTACCTCATTGGAAGATGGTTGGTGGGTTAAAAATTAAAAAACCTCTTATGTAAAGCTGATCACTCTGTATCATCTACGTATGTTACCCATTAAATTATTGTATAAACATTTATTGGTACAGCATTTAATTATGGAATATTTTCCACAGATGCCTGATGAAAAAGAAAAGAATTGTACCAAAGGTTTGAACAAACTTTGGTACAGTGATGCTAAATATGGTCAATTTTGGCAACACTACAACACCATGATCATGACAGCTCACCATGATGCTATTGTGAAAGCAAGATATGTTGCAGCTCATACCAAGGCTGCACTCTCTAATCTAGTAAGTGGTACATAATGTTCTAACTTGGAATAAAAACACAGCACTGCATATGCCATATTGTGACAAACAAACCAACATGGAAAACACAACAGAAGATGTACAGTGTATTTTTGCCTACTGTTCATGCATTTTTTTTTTAAGTAGGCTGAAATATGTAATTCTTTTCATATTCTCTATTTTATTTTCTCAGTGTGGGTTACTTTGTGCTGTTAGCCAGTGTTTGTTATGATTTTTCCTCATATTTTAAGACACAGGGTGCTCAATTGGGTATCATTGTATTTTTACTTTTTGGCAGAGTAACTTAGGAATCCCTCATTGCATTGACTTGATGCTGTAACAACATATACATATGTTGCATAAGTGTCTCAATTCTTCAACTTGTCAGTTTTGATAACCATTTATCACATCTGTCAGACACTGCAACATCATGGGATCTTGATACAAAGAATTCTTCAACACTTGTCCAACCTTTGGACGAAGACCTACTTACACTAGTGGATGGTCCCACTGTGATCCCACCTCCTCCTGCTTTGACTCATCTGACTGCAGTATATAAGCCACTTCTCTGGCTGTATGCTGTACTTCCTACAAGAGTGATAGACTGAACACATCGATTCCAGGCTGAGGGACTGATTACCTCAAACTCCTCCTCTCCTTATTATACCTTCCTGCTTTGTATTGGACTGATGAAGCCACTGTGTGACAAAACGTTTCTTCAGTAAAGATTCCCATGTGTTTTCAAACCATTTATCACACAGTAACAGTAACTTGCTACACATTCCTTAATACATTTTAGATTTGAACTTGTTTTTATTCATTGCTTTTGGGAGAATGTCTCACATGTTTTAAATGAGCAAATATATGGTAGATGGAGTATCCAAAGTTTTTTTGTAATGCATTAGCTGTTTCCCACCAATGTAGGTTGACCAAAAGAAGGAGAAACACTTTTACCATCATTCATTCAATCACCATCTTGCCAGAAGCATGCTGGCATCACAACTAAGATAAACCTCTGAACTACATCCCTACCCCACCTTCAGAGTGCAAGCACTGTACTTCCCACCCTCGGGACTCAAGTCCAACTAACCAGTGTCCCTGAATCCGTTAATAAATGTCACCATGCTCTCACTCCAACAGCACATCAAATCGTGAAAACCACATGCCTCCACTTACTCCTTTCTAATATATTCACACAAAACTGTTGGATGCCCAAGCCCCTAGTATTAAAAGTCTTGCTTACCCCTCTCTTCAACCCTTCCTGGGATGACCCTATCCCTCTATCTTTCTACCAAAGATTTATATACCCTTTTAGACATCCTGTTCTGCTCTATCCTTTCTATATGTCCAAACCACCTCAACAACCCCCTCCTCTGCCCTTTCAGTAATGCTTTTGGTAACCCCACACATTCTAATCTCCAGGATGTAAGTTCTGTGCATAATATTCACACCACACATTCCCCATAACATCCCCACTGTCTCCAACCTCCTCCTCCTCCTCCTCCTCCTTGCTGCAATGATTAAAATTTATGCCTCACATACATTCATCATTGTTGGTACCACTACACAGTGGTCCCTCAGCTAACGATATTAATCCGTTCCTGAAAGCTCATCGTTAGCTGAAATTATCGTTAGCTGAATTAATTTTCCCCATAAGAAATAATGGAAATCAAATTAACCCGTGCAAGACACCCCAGAGTGTGAAAAAAAAAAAATTTTTACCACATGAAATATTAATTTTAATACACACAAACTGACACTTACCTTTATTGAAGATCTGGTGATGATTGATGGGATGGGAGGAGGGGAGAGTGTAGAAGTTGTTAATGTTTAGAAGGGGAATCCCCTTCCGTTAGGACTTGAGGTATCAAGCCCTTTTCCAGGGTTACTTCCCTTCTTTTAATGCTGCTAAGACCAGCTTGAGAGTCACTGGACCTCTGTCACACAACAAATCTGTCTATAGAGGTCTGTACCTCCCATTCCTTTAAGATTTGCCTAAAATGGGCCACAACATTGTCATTGTAATTGTCACCAGCATGGCTTGCAATAGCTGTGTTAGGGTGATTTTCATCCATAAAGGTTTGCAGTTCAACCCACTTTGCACACATTTCCTTAATTTTTAAAGTAGGCACAATGGATTCCACAACTGGCATAGGCATCTCAGGGTTAGCCCCAAACCCTTCAAAATCTTTCTTAATTTCCATACTAATTCTCACCCTTTTTTTATCACAGGGTTGGCACTAGAAGCTTTCTTGGGGCCCATGGTGACTTATTTTGCAGGTACAATCACTAAAAACGCTGTGATAATATGAAATGCTCCGATTGTGTGCGTGGATGTGACCGCACTGGCTGGCTTGTAAACACTGGCACCCACGGGACAACTGAGGCGCGCTCAGGCCACACGTGGACGCGTCTCGAACGATGCCAAGCCCATGATGACACTCTTCAGGTCACTTGTTCTATCTAGGCTGGAATATTGCTGCACACTAACAGCACCTTTAAGGCAGGTGAAATTGCTGACCTAGAAAATGTACAGAGAACCTTCACGGCACGCATAACGGAGAGTAAAACACCTCAATTACTGGGAGCGCTTGAATTTCCTGAGCCTGTACTCCCTGGAACGCAGGCGGGAGAAATACATGTACATGATTATATACACCTGGAAAATCCTAGAGGGACTAGTACCGAACTTGCACACGAAAATCACTCACAACAAAAGCAAAAGACTCAGCAGACAATGCAACATCCCTCCAATGAAAAGCCGGGGTGTCACTAGCACGTTAAGAGACAATACAGTAAGTGTCAGGGGCCCGAGACTGTTCAGCTGCCTCCCAGCATACATAAGGGGGATTACCAATAGACCCCTGGCTGTCTTCAAGCAGGCACTGGACAAACTCCTAAAGTCGGTACCTGATCAGCCGGACTGTGGCTCGTACGTTGGATTGCGTGCAGCCAGCAGTGACAGCCTGGTTGATCAGACTCTGATCCACCAGGAGGCCTGGTCACAGACCGGGCCGTGGGGGCGTTGACCCCTGGAACTCTCTCCAGGTAAACTCCAGGTGAGGCAAAATTTTTGCGTTAAAATGTATCGTTAGCTGGATTTAACGTTAGCTGATGCCATCGTTAGCTGAGGGTCCACTGTACTCTGGTACATTTATCTTCTAACCTCCATGGATTAGGTTTTTTGTCTTCAGAGATGCCACCTTTTTCTCCTATAATAATAATAATAATATAAAAATAATAATAATAATAATAATAATAATATAATAATAATAATAATAATAATAATAATAATAATAATAATAATAATAATAATAATATCTTTATTTCTACAAGTACATGTACAAGGTATACAGGCCTAGCCGACATCAGTGACATACTACTGGAATATGCAGAGCATTTCAGGCAAATTAGGTCAGTATTGTCCCAGGATGCAACCCACACCAGTTGACTAACACCCAGGTATCCATTAATACTGATGGGTGAACATAGACAACTGGTGTAAGGAAACACACCCAATGTTTCTAGCCTTGCCAGGAATTGAATCTGGACCCTCACCATGTGAAGCGAAAGCTTTTGCCACCAGACCAGGGGCCACTGTCCTGGTCAAATCTATGGTTCACCTCATCTTTCATAGACCCGTCTGCTGATAAGTTCATTCCTGGTTGATCAGGCTCTGATCCACCAGGAGGCCTGGTCACAGACCGGGCCGCGGGGGTGTTGACCCCCGGAACTCTCTCCAGGTACTCTCCAGTGGAACCTCAAATTTCGAACTTAATCTGTTCCAGGAGCTAGTTCTAAAGTCGAAAAGTTTGAAAGGCGAAGCCATATTTCCCATAAGAAATAATGGAAATACAATTTTTCCATTCCAGAAAACCAAAAATATTCACAAAAAAATACATTTTATAGATAGTATTACATTATAGTTTTACATACACACAACTGATATAGTGTACAATTATTAATAAATATAAATAAACATATAAAATAAAATTTTTACTTACCTTTATTGAAGATTGGTGATGGCATCTGGAAGATAGGGAGGAGGAGAGAGGGAGTTGGGGTTAGTGTTTGGAAGGGGAATCCCTCTCTATAAGGACTTTAGGTATCAAAGCCCTCTCTGGGGTTATTTCCCTTCTCTGCCTTTAATGCCACTAGGACCAGCTTGAAAGTCACTGGACCCCTGTCTCACAAAATAACTGTCCACAGTCCTCTGTGTTTGGCGCCTCTTTAAGATTTCCCTAAAATGGGACATGGTTCTGTCATTGAACTTGTTGCAAAGATGGCTTGTTTCAGCTTGCTCAGGGTGGTACTTCTCTACAAACATTTGGACATCATTCCACTTGGCACAAATCTCCTTAATCTTTGAAGAACGCACCTCATCCACTCCCTCTTCCTCCTCCTCTGAAGCAAGTTCCTGAGCTGTGGTCTGATACTGTTCCAGATGAAGCTTTTCCAGCTCTTCAGTGGTTAGCTCTTCCATGTGGTCCTCCACCAACTCTTCCACATCGTCGCTACTTGCCTCCAGCCCCAGGGTGTTTCCCAATGCCACAATATAGTCCTCAACAGGCAGAGGGTCAGCTGGGTCATGGTCAGCCTCAAACCCTTCAAAATCCCTATTTTGGACACAATCTGGTCACAGTTGTCTCCAAGCAGAGTTCAAAGTCCTGGAAGTCACTCCCTCCCAAGCCTTACCTATAAGGCTTATGGAGCTGTAGATATTGAGGTGATTCCTCCAGAGCTCTCTTAGGGTCAACTTAGTGTCTGTGGACACTTCAAAGAACTTTTCAAACACTGCTTTTGTGTAGAGTTTTTTGAAGTTAGAAATGACCTGCTGGTCCATGGACTGGAGGAGAGGAGTGGTGTTAGGAGGCAAGAACTTCACTGTGATGAAACTGTAGTCCCTAGACAGTAGGTCTACCAAGTTTGGAGGATGAGCAGGAACATTGTCCATTAACAGGAGGCACTTGAGTGGCAAATTATTGTTTAGGAGGTATTTTCTCACACTGGGGCCAAACACTTCATAGACCCACTCTTTGAAAATTTGCCTTGTGACCCATGCCTTATTATTTGCTTTCCACAATACACACAGTCTATTCTTGACGACATTGTTTTTCTTAAACACTCTGGGATTTTCTGAATGATACACAAGTAAAGGCTTCACTTTAAACTCACCACTAGCATTAGCACAGAATAAAAGAGTTAGCCTGTCTTTCATAGGCTTGTGTCCTGGGAGTGCCTTTTCCTCCTGAGTAATGTAAGTCCTCTTTGGCATTTTCTTCCAAAACAGGCCTGTTTCGTCACAATTGAACACTTGTTGGGGTTTGAATTTTTCAGTGTCTATGTAAACCAGAAACTCCTGTACAAACTTCTCAGCTGCCCGTTTGTCTGAACTAGCTGCCTCACCATGCCTTACAACATTGTATATGCCACTACACTTCTTAAATCTGTCAAACCAGCCTCTGCTGGCCTTATATTCACTATTAGCACTGGTTCCAGGAGTTTTCTGTACCAGATCAGCATGCAACTTCCTTGCCTTTTTACAGATAATCGTCTCTGAAACATTATCACCTGCCATCTCTTTATCCTTGACCCATACCAGCAACAACTTCTCAACCTGATCAATTGTCTGTGGTCTTTTTTTTGGTTAGAATATTAATACCTTTCACAACATCAGCTTCCTTGATTTGTTCTTTCTTTGCAAGGATAGAAGCAATGGTCGACTTGTTTTTCCCGTACATCCTGACAAGCTCAACAAGTCGCACACCACTCTCATACTTCTGTATTACAGGTCTCCCTCAACATTCACATTTTCCACCTTCATGGGCTTCGAACATTCGCTAATTCCCAGCCGCCCAATCATATTTAAAATGTCATTACATATGTTTGGAATTGTGGCGGTGGCAGAGTTGGTTTGGAGATAAGTCAAGATAGTCCTGCAATATGACACTAATATCAATTCTGCAGCTTATTTATCTATCACAATTCATCTAATATGAATGTTAATAGCATAGAAACATGACATATACTCTAGAATGAAGGCACATTCTCCCCTCTCTCTTCCTCCTACACTTTGGTACTCTGCTATGAGTTCTTTCTTGAATTCTATAGTTTTTCTCATCTTCTTTACCAAAGGGCTGGCACTAGTACAATATTTTATGTTTTCATGTATTTTATGACTGTTCATGGTTCAATAGGTTAAGGAAGCAGTATTGTATTATATTTCCCTACAATATATTGGGTCACCAAACATTTGCAATTTTTCAACATTCGTGAGGTTCTTGATCCCCTAACCCTCGCGAATGTTGAGGGAGACCTGTATTTCCTCCTTCACATCTATGGTGTTTTTCACTTTCTTTACCACAGGGGTACCACTAGCAAGTTTCTTTGGGCCCATGGTAGCTTATTTCACAGTCCCACAAGCACTAAACACAATGAATTAATTGTAAAATGTTTGAACGAGACTGCAGGTTAGTGCTCACTCAAGCATCAACAAAACCAGACTAGCTCACGGTGCCTGTGCGGGAATGCAAACAGAGCGGCCTGGTGGACAGGTCCGGTACCCGGCGGTTCGAAAGAAGGGGCGAGTTCAATAATAGGGACAAAGTTGGTTCGAAAAAAGCGGTCGATTTTCGAAGAGTTCGATAAGTGATACGTTCGAAATTTGAGGTTCCACTGTATGATCAAATTGGAAGAGAAAATATACAGTAGATGTTTAATATGAGGTTCCAGATTGTTTACAAAATAGGACACTTTTGATGTAGTTGATTTAAACCCCAGCAGCCAATCATGATTAAGCTATGTAAGGTATCTAATGAGGAAGTAAAGAAAAATAACAGTAGGACCAGATGACAGTACAGTGGGTCTGAAAGTATCTACAGATTAACAAAATTATTCATTCTAGACACATTCACCACAAGAAGGTAAATTGGCAAACAAACAGCAAATAGCATGCATTGTGTAGGTATTTAAAAATAGGCCAGTCATCCCACAGAGTGAGTGACATGTATAACAACTAAGACTTGTGAAGATGTAGAGTAATAAATTGTAATTATTCAGTTTTGCTTCAAGCTACATTACTTTTGAAAACAGATTAGTACTGGGACATACATTTCTTTTATGTTTATTTACTCATTTTTTTAACAATTCATCTGTTTCCCACCGTGGTAAGGTGACCCCAAAGGAAAAAAAGGACATTCACCATCTTTTATTCACTATCTGCCAGAAGTGAATGAACACAACAGTCATATGACCTGAACTGCAACCTCCCCACCCATTCTTAAGACTATGGGCACTATACTTCCCACCTCCAAAACCCTTTTCTTCATTATCCTCATATAATCTTTCATTCCTCAAATATTTTATTATTGTGTTTTTATGTCTTCCATGCTGTGTGATTAATTCATATTAAATATTTCAGCAGAGCTCAATGTATCTACATGCAAACAATTCTCAAGATAGGCATTCAGAGAATTTTTCAGTTAAAAAACACTGTTCTTCCTCGTGTTCGACCAGAAACTCAGCTGAGATTGCAAGAGCCAACAGAAACAGGCAGAAGAGGAAAAGGAAAATGAGGAATAGGAGACTAAGGGAATTAGCCAGTAACAATAATCAAGGAGGTCTGAGTGACACAGAGCTGTTGCACTCTCAGATGAGTCAAGGGATGCACATTGAAGATGCTGATGAGGAGGGCATGGAGGTAACTGACGACTTCTTGAAATTTCTTGAGCAAAGCGAGAAGCACCGAGAGCAGTGGAAAGTTAAGAAGAAAAAACTAAAATGTATCAGTGGTTCAATTTCCCCTTCAGAAGAGCCATTGGGTGATGGAGGTTCCAGGGTAAGTAGTACGTACAATATTATTACTGTAGCAGGTAAGAGATGTTTTTTTTCTTTTTTAACTTGAAGATGAACCCTTTAATTCATGAGAGTTGTGACTTAAGAATAATGCACAATTCTCTCTCTGTAATAGAGTAGGCCATTGATTAATACGTGACCTATTAATGCTTTTCTGATAACATCGTCGGAAAATTGCGGCATATTTTCGATGTGCACGCTGTATTATCATTTAGCGGGAGTAAATTTAGGGAAAATGTGGCATGCTGCAGGTTCTTTGCTGTCTGTCTCACAGTCAGCCTACAGGTGAGGCCATTGTCTTATGGGGAAGACCTGGTCACACTCTTAATGTAAATAACCTCCCATGCCATCAGTTCTCCGTGTTTGTTTTTTCTTAGCTCATCTTTAGTCTCTTTTAGCCTGTCTATATATTTTTTCCAGTGTGAATGCAGTACCACTACTCCATGTGCTAATTTTGATCTAACAAATATAAACAACTATTTTAACATTTTCCTCTCCATGTATCTAAATTGTACAGTGTCACATATATTTATTAATGGTCCCAAGGCTCATCAGCTCCATGATCTGGTCCCAGACCTGGCCTCCTAAATTGAAAAGAATATTTTACAAGACTTGAGAATTTAATTATTAAGACACACACAGGAAATTAAAAATAAATGCAAGTATTTAAAATACTGAATGTAAGTAGAAATTTGTAAGGGTTTTCTGCCACTGGGTGTTGTTCTGGTGACAGTGTTGCCACTCGTGACTCCTAGGTTCCTTACCTTTCTTTGTAAATTAATAACTATTATTATTAATTTAGGGAACTGAAGCTTGCTCATTATTATGATTATTATTATTATCATAATAATAATAACGAGGAGCTTCAGAACACTGCCACTAGTTGGCGCAATGCCATGGAAGCATTTCTCTCATGCTTTGCTTGTATTTTTTACAATTATTTTGCCAAATTTCTTTTTTCTAACCATAGATCCTAAGAAAGTAAGTGCAAAGGACAGTGCTGAGAAGAAAAAGATGATTATGTCCATGGAATTAAAGCATGAAATCATAGATAAACAAGCAAGGTGTGCAGGTTGTGGGTTGAGGAGGAAGCGGGGGAAGCTCACTCATAACTCAGAGCAAAAAATCGACCGAGTGACGGCTCGTATCTCAAAAAACTCGTATGTTGGGACACTCGTAAGCTGAGGTTCCACTGTAATTACTTATCAAAAATTCTTGTAAATATAATTTGTAATTTAGCAACAGTTGGTAATTAAAGCCATAAAACAGCAAAGGCCAAATAGTCTGTTTGACCTTTGCCTTCAATGTTGTAATTGTCAGCTGTAGCCTAAATTTAAATGTTCAAAAACTTCATTCTGGTGATGACTTTAGCCACAGCATAACTACTGAATCAAATAGCTTCACTCAATATGCTATTTAACCCATTAACTGTCCAAACATACATCTACATTCTTTCGCCCAGCACTCTGAGTATTTTGAAAAAAAAAAAAAAAAATTTTTTTTTTAATTTAAAGAGGGAAATTTTCTGTGTGTAATAAGACCAAAAAAAAATTTTAGGGTCAGTACTTGCCAACATGTTAGGCCGTGAAGTTGGCGGTGGATGCTCACCTGATGGCAGCATGGAGTCCTGCTGATTTCAGAAGTGTTGCCGATATACCTTTTCTCTTTTTTTTTTTTTAACTTATATAATTTTTATGTTAATTACAGTTTGTAGTAGTTCTTTTGATTTCATTGCCAATGTTTGTTCTGACTGTTCTGACACTAATATTAAGTACTGAAATAGTACTCAAATAGTCTTAAACACACTGACAGGTGAACATTTTCACTGCCTTGGTCACATACCATTGTCTAGAAATATATACAAAGTATTTATAAGTCCCAGCAATGTTTAAGACATTTTTTTTTTTTTTTAACAAACCAGCCGTATCCCACAAGGCAGGTGGCCCAAAAAGAAAACGAAAGTTTCTCTTTTTAAATTTAGTAATTTATACAGGAGAAGAGGTTACTAGCCCCTTGCTCCTGGCATTTTAGTCACCTCTTACAACACGCATAGCTTACAGAGGAAGAATTCTGTTCCACTTCCCCATGGAGATAAGAGGAAATAAACAGGAACAAGAACTAAAAAGAAAATAGCAGAAAACCCAGAGGGGTGTGTATATATATGCTTGTACATGTATGTGTAGTGTGACCTAAGTGTAAGTAGAAGTAGCAAGACGTACCTGAAATCTTGCATGTTTATGAGACAGAAAAAAGGACACCAACAATCCTACCATCATGTAAAACAATTACAGGCTTTCATTTTACACTCACTTGGCAGGATGGTAGTACCTCCCTGGGCGGTTGCTGTCTACCAACCTACTACCTAGGGTTTAAGACATGCTGGAGTATATATGAAACTCTTTGAAGCACAGCGTTAGATGAGTGTCACTCCACTGCTGACAGTGTAGCAGTGGAATGACATCTAATGATCGTACACTGCTTTGGCTTTATTTGTTTTCACTGTTACACATAAACATGTCTCTGTCACTGTCTGTGTCTGTCTATCTGTATAGCTCTGTCTCTGTTTATCTCTGCTTATCTGTCTGTCTTCCTGTCTCTCTGTCTGCTTGTCTTTATTTCTGTCTCAGAGAGAGAGCCGCTCATGAACTAACAGGTATTAGACACGATGCAGTCATCACATCTGATTCCTGAACAAGTGAAAATGCATATTACTTGCCAGTCATGCTTATTATACCTTATATCTACAAGTATTGCATTGTATTGTATTCTGAGCACCTCTGCAAAAGCAGTGATTATGTATGAGTGAGGTGAAAGTGCTGAATGATGATGAAAGTATTTTCTTTTTGGGTCACCCTGCCTCAGTGGGAGGCAGCCGCCTTTTTAAAAAAAAAAATCTACAAGTACTGTATAGCACTTTGTCTGGATTTTTTGGGGTTATCCTGGGTAATTTACACTATGAATAATACCTGTATTATATGTACCTTTGAGACAGAGATAGAGACAGGGATAGAGGCAGAGATAGACAGAGACAGAGATAGATACAGACAGACAGACAGATGGAGATAGAGACAGCCAAAGTATATCAGCCAGCCAGCCAGCCAGCTGGTCAAACACGTATTACACATGTTCCAGAAATGTTTCTCTTGACTTAGGGCATAGGCTATAGGACACTCTGGCAGAATGACATTACCAGTGGTATCAAAATTGAAAGAATGTTGCACACGGGTTATTATTGAGGTTTTTGATTTTTCCTCGACCACTTATGGCCACATCCATCTCAGAGCCACTAAACTCAGGGTCAGCATCACTTTCGTCTTAAAAGGGGAGTGTTAATAGGACATGACATCAGTGTATCCCTGGTGTTTGCCACGCTGTTTGCTCTAGCTGGCTCTCAATTGAACTGGTGCTCCCACAAGGTACTAAGTGGTAACAGATTTTTATAATACTGCACACACCAAGTGTCAAAACCCATTCTTAGGCATCTTAGGCCAGTTGTGCCAAATTTGGAGGCAGAAAAAAATAAAACGTTGGTCTACATTTGGAGCACTAGCGGTAACAACATAGATCTAAGTTTGGACAGTTAAGGGGTTAAAACCTTAGAATTTTTGTGTAGGCCTAAAAATAATAAAATACTCTACTGGAGTTTACCTGGAGAGAGTTCCGGGGGTCAACGCCCCCGCGGCCCGGTCATTAATACTCTTAATACACATTGAATTATTCTTCTTTTAACAAACCAGCCATATCCCACTGAGGCAGAGTGGCCCAAACAGAAAAACAAAAGTTTAGTAATGTATACAGGAGAAGGGGTTACTAGCCCCTTGCTCCCAGCATGTTGGTCGCCTCTTACGACACACATTGCTTACGGAGGAAGAATTCTGTTTCACTTCCCCATGGAGATAAGAGGAAATAAACAAGAACTAGTAAGAAAATAGAAGAAAACCCAGAGGGGTGTGTGTGTATATATTTCTTTCTTTCAACACACCGGCCGTATCCCACCGAGGTGGGGTGGTCCAAAAGGAAAAACAAAAGCTTCTCCTTTTAACCCTTTGACTGTTTTCGACGTATAAATACGTCTTACGAGCCAATGTTTCTGACGTATATATACTCAATAATTCTAGCGGCTTCAAATCAAGTGGGAGAAAGCTGGTAGGCCCACATGTGAGAGAATGGGTCTGTGTGGTCAGTGTGCACCACATAAAAAAAATCCTGCAGCACACATTGCGTAATGAGAAAAAAAAAAACTGATCGTTTTTTTGGAATAAAACGCCGACTTTGAGGTGTATTTTCGTATAGTATTTATCGTTGTATTCGCGTTTTCATGGTCTTAAGTGATAAAATGGAAAACATATTACAGAAATAGAGATGATTTTCATTACTTTTATGATGAAAACGACCTTGAAACTGAGCTCAAAGTAGCAGAAATGTTCGATTTTTACCAATGTTCAAGAGTGAATAAATCACACCACACGTCCAATACACGTCAACTGGGGAGTCTAATATTCTTTCACTAGTGCACTGATATTATTTATACCATTTTTACAATAATGCAGTCGTCTGCATAACAGTAAATTTTGTATTTTTTTGTATGAATAAAAAATCAAAATAGAAAGCAATAATAATATAAGAGGGGCCTAGAGATGTGACTAATGAACAGAGCATATGTTATTTTAGTGCCACGAATGTCTACCTTGTTTATTCTGGACCCTATTTTGAAATTGGCATCTTTTTTATTTTGCGTGAAATTGGCCAAATTGCCAATTTCTGACCACCATATTGGGTAGTCCAAATTAGTAAATGGGAGGTTTCTTGTACTCAGCTGATAGATAAAATGGAGTTCTAAAGAAATAGCTATGAGTTTGGTCAACTGGAACAATGGAATTGGCTGAAAATAGGGCTCAAAGTCGGCGAAATCGCCGATACGCATATGTCGCCGAGACCGCTAACTTCGCGGGAGCATAATTCCACGAGTTTTCGACCAAATTT